ATCTGTCGTAAACAAGAGGTTTACACCGCCAACTATTGAAAGCCACTAGACATTTTGGCATTTCTCACAGTTGCCGCTTTCAACATGGACGCGCGAGACGAAATGGAGCGACAGATTCTCTTAAGCCACGCACGAGAAAAACAAAACAACCACAAATGTAAACATTGAAGTTGTTTTTAATGTGAATTTAATTCGGAGACGCATTGTTCGCGCAGCGTAGTCGCAGCGCTCGCTCCGTTCAGATAAGCGACAAGTTTCGAAAGGGTCATTTGTCTATGTCTAATTGTTCACTAATGGACGCGATAGGCCGCCCAAAGGTTGTGTTACGTATATGGTTAACACTTCAAACGATACGAAACAATATTTTGTTAAACATTTACCTACAAATCTTTTGATCTAGACACATAGCAGTGAATCAGTCAAGTTCGGAAAAAAGGCAATACACCGCCATATTTAACGTATTTACCTTCTACCTTTTTATATATGTATATAAAAACTGAAGCGTCCAAGTGTTCAATTAGCCACTCCGTTCACATTTAATTTTATTATGTTTTATTAAATTGAACCCTTTGACTAACAAATATGACATACCTAGTACCTACATGATTACTTAAGCTAAAAGAAAAGGACAAAATAGCCTGGCAATGTAGTGTGTGCTGCCGCTGGAACGGCTACATTTTTAAGTGGTTTTGTGGGCATATAATGTATCTATAAAAAATATAATTGACCGGCAGTGTGTATAAATTACACAAACGATTTCGAGCCCTAAGTCATAAGATATCACATTTGTAATTCTGAACGTCAAACAAGTATCCCTTAAATACTTAATACCCAAATATCATGAATATCTTATTGTTCTTGAGGTTGTTAAAGTCACAAATGATATTTTTATTACTTACTGAGCTTGGCACCAATTCAGATCTCAAGTGTTTTATCTGCGAAGCCAACAACCCCGAAGGTCGTTTGTATACTGAATTTAACCCCCCTTTTCGCATTTATATTTTTGGTGGGATTTATTTATTTTAAGCCGGGCCATTGAATACGTTATTTACGTCTTTTTTTTTATAGGATCGAGTGACAAACAACCACACAGTCCACTCGACGGTAAGTGGTTGCTGTGGACCATAGACATCTCCTTTATCCTTGTTTTCAACTCGACCAAGATGGAATGCCTCTTTTCCAGTAAAAAGGGTCTCCGGTTCTCTACACTCACCATACGAAACACAGCAGTGTTAAACTGCTATTTGACGCTGGTATTCTGTGTGTGTCTTGATAGAGGATATTACGTAAGTTCAATATTGATATGAATAAGGTCTTTGGAAACTTTATACATGGAAAGGTAATGTTGCAGCTGTAAACTACAATAACTGCAGCACAAATGGGTCCGCTCAGTCGGAGAAGGGCCACGCTCTCATAGAACACAAGCGCAAAATAAAAACATAATGCCAAACTTTTCACATAAAAAACCAGGTAAAAAAAGGAGCACTGCCCAATGATGGTTGGTGGATTATGTGGCCCCAGAAACCTCTACATTTACCGATCAAGATTTAAGGAATAAAGATGAACGTTTTGATACCAGTGTAAGTGTATCTGGATGCCTGGGCCTCGGTCGTGACCGACCATACGAAGGACAGCAGCATTAGGCTGCTATTTGACGCTGATATTCTGTAAGAAGGTAGTCTTTCCCCAATCGAGGCGACCTATTCGTGCTTCAGCATAAATACAGCCGCAGCGTAGTCTTTTTTTTTATAGAATAAGGGTGACAAGCGAGCACACAGTTCACTTGATGGTAAGTGGTTGCTGTAGCCCTGTAGATGTCTATATCTACATTTATCCTCGATTACGAATCACAATGCAGACGCGTTGTCACCCGTGAGGACTAAGACGGAATGCCTGGTTTCCAATAAAAACGGGCTCTATCACATATCATGATTTCATGTATCCTCCAACCTTATATAAAAAAAAAAACATAAGAAAGTAATATGCTATTGTGTATTAAATATTTGTCATCGCAAGATATATATAATAGGATTTATTCAGGTTAAGTTTCACTTCATACACACTGATAAATAATATTTTATGAACCTATATCTATTGTCACTTCTGAGAAATAAGATGGAATGCCCTGTTCTACATATATCATTGCAAACATATGACTCTTATAACTTTATATTGGTTCTTTATGTATACGAAATATGTTTTCTTTATCTGTCCATATCCTATTTATCTCACTTGCCCCTAGATGTTCACCGTAAAGTCGCTTTAATACATATTCAATTCACAAAGTACCAGCGTAAAATAGCAGCTCAATGCAGCTGTGTTTCGTATAATGAGTGTAGAGAATCGGGGACCCTTTTTACTGGAAACGAGGCATTCCATCTTAATCCTCTGAGCCACAGAATCCGCTTACCATCATGTGGACTTTGTGCTCGTTTCTCATCCTGATTATATAAAAAAGTTTTAGTTTCCTTGTTATATTTTAATAAAGCAACATAAAATATAAATTAACTCAACAAAGTATCGAAAGAGATCCTTACCGGCCTCATTTTGAACTAACACAATAAGCAGCTCAAACGCATTTAATCTACGTCGGAACTCGTTGACTTGCGACTATACTTAAAACATTTCAAAGTGAATGGTGCTCATGAAGCTATAGACAAGGCATTGTTATAACGTCGTAACAACGGGGATAATATTTCAAGTGGATCGTTAATGCATAATAACGAAATATAACTTGGATTAAGTTAAAGTTACAGCCTTTATACGTCCCACAGCCGGGCATAGGCCTCCCCACATTTTTTTGTAGCAAGTTTTTTTTTTTATTACATAATGTCGTTTAATTGAGAAGTTAGTTTTAAATAAAAGTTTATCAGTTTCTAAAGTATTATATTATTAGCTTTTACCCGCGGCTTCGCACGCGTTGGTTTCAATTTAGGAATATCATTAAAATTAAAATTTCATAAATGTTGTTCTATTTATGATGAAGGTGTGACGGGGACTATATTCATGAACGGGAGTAGAACTATAGAGAAGATGGGCAGCAGCGCCTTTCTGATTACAGCTCAAAATAATAAAAAGATGAAGTTGGCAACCCGCCTGTCAAGCGTGGCAACAACGGCTAATATCCAACTTATTTCGTAAGTAAAATCTATGGAGGGAATCGATATGATGAACGGAAGTCGAAATATATTAGCAATGTAAAGGTGACGAAATGGAAACTAATACCTCATTTTGTCTCGTAGGTGTCTTAAGAGGCGACAGAAGGGAAACTGAAACAGGAGATGGATGGCAGCATCTTCCTGGTAACAGTGCAGAGTAATAAAAAGCTGCGGATGCCAACCCACTCGCCAAGCGTATCAACTATGGCAAATATCCTTCCTATTAGGCAATCTATGGGGGAGACCTATGCTCAGGCTGTAATCATCATCATCATCATCATTACAGCCTTTCATAAGTCCACTGCTGAACATAGGCCTCCCCAAGGAATGCCACAAAGCACGGTCCTGAGCCACCTGCATCCATCGACTTCCTGCATGTCTTACCAGGTCGTCACTCCATCTAGTGGGGGGTCGCCCTACACTTCGCCTACCGGTACGAGGCTGCCACTCGAGAACCTTTCTTCCCCATCGGTTGTCGGTTCTTCGAGCTTTATGGCCGGCCTACTGCCACTTCAGCTTACTAATCCGTTGGGCTATGTCAGTTACTCTGGTTCTACTGCGGATATCCTCATTTCTAAGTTTATCACGCAGAGAAACACCGAGCATAGCCCTCTCCATAGCTCTCTGAGCGACCTTGAGCTTCCTCATACGGCCAGCAGTGAAGGACCACATCTCATATCCGTAAGTCATCACTGGCAACACGCACTGGTTGTATAGTTTCGTTTTCAGGTTTAGAGTTATGTTATATCACCTAATATATATATATATTAAGTGACGTTATATCCCCGAAACTCTTCACCGCTGCATTGGAAGACGTTTTCAAGCTACTGGACTGGAAAGGATGCGGTATTAACATCAATGGCAAGTACATCACTCACCTTCGATTTGCCGACGATATAGTCCTTATGGCAGAATCGCTGGAGGACCTAAGCACTATGCTCAATGACCTCAATAGTGTCTCCCAACAGATAGGTCTTAAGATGAACATGGACATAACAAAAATCATGTTTAACGTCCATGTCACACCTATGCCGGCAAATAGTCCGATTAGGTAAGTCCAACTTCGACCGAGAGGTCCATCGACGGATTCAACTCAGCTATGCTGAAGCTCGGCTTCGGGAAACTACGACACATCCTCTCGTTAGACATACCTCAAAACCAGGATGTAACGGGAACAGTAAATATACTTTACTGGCTGTAATTAATGTAAATATATGGGGGAGTCTTATTATCAGCGGTAGACTTAGGCTGTAATGAATGAATGAAAAAGCATACAACCACGTTGACTTAAGTAGAGTTTAATACAAAAACTTGAAAAACACGTTTTTTTTTTAAATAAAACAGTAGAATAATTTGCCGGCATATGTCGTTCTGTGCGATTACAATCTGGGTGTCTTCAAGGCAAGAATGAATAGACTTTTGTCGCGCTAAGACAGTGCGAATTACCATCTAGGGCTTCATATCACAGCTGTCCACCAGTTAGGATTATAGTCAAGCACTGACTTATAATAAGTATTTTTTATAGAATAAGGGTAACAAATGCACACACAGGCACTTGATGGTTAGTGGATGCTGTGGCCCATTATCAACATGTATCCTCGATTAAGAATCAAAATGCAGATGCGTTGGCAACCCTGAGGACTATATTGGAATGCCTCGTTTTCAGTAAATAGGGTCTCCGGTACTCTACACTCCCTTTACGAAGCACAGCGGCATTTCGCTGCTATTTTACGCTGGTGTTCTGTGGTCCTACCTCGGTCGAGTCGACCCATTCGTGCTACAACCATAATATAGCTGCAGCGTGGCTCTTCCGCGTATAAACCACATTAAAAATGACCTCACCTTGCAGCATCGAGCGATACGCGGTGTCGGTGATGGCGAACACGTGTGGTGGCACCTCGTGCCGCTTGATGCCTTTGTAGCGCTCCATGATCTTCTCCGTGTAGATCGGCAGCTTCTTGTACGGGTTCACCACCACGCAGAAGAGCCCCGAATATGTCTGCAAGCAATTGGGTAATGTTAGTTATATATAGTTTAATAAGAATTTTCTGTAAATAAATTATAATCATCTTAATCTTAATTTTATGGTACGATTCCGATCTCGACAGCAAGCAGCAGTGTTGCCACTGTGGTGCAGCGCAGCAGTGCTGCCTGCCCTGCTGATTCCGAGCAAGGCGGCAGTGTTGCCCTGTTCGTGGTGTTACGCTATTGTGTATTCATTCAGTTGCTTTAAGTTGACAAGATTTATATTGATGATCACCAACTTTTATTTATATTGTTGGGAGAGGAATAACTTGTTTTATTGATCTCCTTCGATATAATATCTTTCCATAGTTCTCCTTCGATATCATCGATACCATCCTTCACCTTCGATATAATGTCTTTAATAAAATTATTACGATGATTAGTATGACTGCTATTGTAAGTTTCATTGTAAGATTCGGAATCAGAGAAATTCATATTTTATTGCTAATTTACTTATTAACATTCACGCATAGACAATATAGCTGCCGCGCAGCAGTGCTGACGCTGCATTGCTGCCGCTGCATTGCTGCCGCTGCATTACTGCCGCGTAATTGCTGCCGCTCTCGGAATGTAATCTCATATAAACCTATAGAGAATATATGGGGACCAGTAGTGTTGCAGCAGCATTGACGCGACCGCAATACTACTTCAGGGGTTCAAGGATGGTGCCATATAAATATTGAGAAAAAGCCATCCCGATGGGTGGCAAAATAGAGGATCAAGTTTTTACTGTAACTATTTTGGTGACATTGAGATTGGGACTAACCTAACCTAACCTATACTTAGTCCACTCAAAAAGGAGAAAAAAAAATTATGTGAAATAATTTTATTCTTTTTAGATATCTGAAGTCAGATTTACTTTACATTAAAAGTTAATTTTCGCGCGAAATCTTTTATTTTTCAGCGGTAAAACTTATCCCGCGCTGTCCCAATGCGTGTTGGCGAACTTCATATGTCTTCGTAATATTTTTTTTTCTTATTTCTAAAACATGCAGGTTTCCTCACGATGTTTTCCTTCACCACCGAACACGTGGTAAATGGTAGGTGGCAGCGCATCGGACATGTCTATGCCCTAAAATCCCCTTAGAAATGAGAGGAGGCCTGTGCCAAGCAGTAGGACGTATGTATATAGCATGTAAATTTAACTTTTTGAAATTATCCCATGTATATTTACCCAGAACGTGGTCTACCTTTGTGCTAAATTTAATTCCAATCTGTCTAACCGAACATACGTGATTGATTAACAAATATTCAAACATCATTTATAAAAATATGGTGTATAGAAAATTATTGTAAGAACAAATGAACGTAAGCGAGATGCTAATAATATATTTTTCATAATACAAAATTTACACTTGAAGGAAAAGCAATTAAGGCGTTTAGAATAGTATTCATCTTTCATTGTCACGCTCACATCATTTTACAAGTCTACACGGTCCGAGATATTGTAACGAAGTTCCTTATCGCACGGTATGAATTTGACGGATGGGGGCTAAGCGAGAAAAGTGTAAGATTTTTCCGTCACGTTTCTTTCACGTTTTTTTTATAGAACAAGGAGACAAACGAACACACAGTTCACTTGATGGTAAGTGGATGATGTGGCACATAGTCATCTACATCTATATACGATTAAGAACCACAGTGCTGATGCGTTGTCACCCCTGAGGACTAAGATTGAATGCCTCATTGCAAGTAAAAATGGGTCTTCGGTACTCTACACTCACCATACGATTTTACGTGGTAGAGCCATGCTGCACCTATATAATTAGTATAGTTGTAGAACGAATGGATCGGCTTGACCGGGGTAGGACCACGCTCTCACAGAATACCAGCGTAAAATAGTAGCTCAACGCTGCTGTGTTTCGTATGGTGAATGTAGAGAATCGGGGACCCTTTTTACGGCATTCCATCTCAGTGCTCACGGGTGATAACTAGCAAGCATCTGTATTTTAATTCGTAATTGAGGATAGAAGTAGATGTCTATGGGCCACAATAACCAATTACCAGGTGGACAGTGCTCGTTTGTCACCCTTTTCCTATAAAAAAAAAAAACGAAATGCAGTAGTATTAATGTGCTATTTCACGCTGGTATTCTGTGAGAATACGCCTTATTCTTTTTCTAAAAACGTTACCCGCACAATAGGCTTTTATTTCTGTATCGTGGAGGCAGCAGACATACATAAATTGCACAAGAACAAACATCCAAACGCGATACAACTTTGTAGGTCATACAAATACTCATTCCGTGCAGGATTCGTCGACCCACGGCCCTCACCGCCGCTATTTGTTTTTTGTGTCATTGATTGCTAAGCTACGGAGCCGTCAAACGCTATAAGCAGTAGAGGATTTGTTTTAAAAGTATTCTCACGGATAAACAACAAATGAGACGTGCCTCGAGGGCTCGTACTCTAAGCCTGTCGAGTAGCAGGCACTACGCTTCATTACTGTCGTCAACCCGATGCGCTCATTGACAGTTGATTGGAACTCGACACGGACTGTTCTCCGCGGCTAATGAAGTAGTTACGACTGTAGTGCCATCGCTGTTATGTCAACTAACAAAATTAATAGAATCGTTACGTACTTATATTACATTCATTAGCTCCTTTTCATAACGCACAGTGATGAGGTATAGAAAAATGAAGGCACTGTTCCTTTGACGGTTAAAAAGAATTACCAGAGTTTGACTTGATAGTAAGACTCGTCTCCTATCGTCGAGGAGTCGCGTCTTTGTAGATTACTACTCTCTTCAATATTTCTGTCGCTAAATAGCAGTAGCTGCACTGTTGTGTCCCAGTCTCAAAGTTATTGGAGAACCAGAATAATTACCGGTTGTGATACATTTTGTCTGAGACCTCAGAGGTGTTCTTTGTTTGAAGTGTGCATATACTGCACAAGCCACTGAGGCTTCTATCATTTTTTTTTACTTCGAAAAAGTTTACATCGATTTGCGACTCTTTAGTCAACATTTTATTTAAAAATATCCATTCATTCCATTCCATTCTCCAGCACCTTAAAAACGGCAAGGCCCCAGGCGAGGATGGAATTACAGCGGAGCTTCTGAAAGCGGGTGGAAAACCGGTACTTGAAGTCCTTCAGAAGCTCTTTAATTCCGTCCTCCATGGTGGCATTACACCGGAGGCGTGGAGCAGAAGTGCGGTGGTCTTGTTCTTCAAGAAAGGCGACAACGCTCTCTTGAAGAACTACAGACCGATTTCCCTTCTGAGTCGCGTCTACGTGCTGTTTTCGAGAGTCATTACGAATCGTCTCGCGCGCAGACTTGACGACTTCCAGCCTCCCGAACAAGCCGGTTTCCGAAAAGGCTTTAGCACCATAGACCACATACATACCCTTCGGCAAATTGTACAGAAGTCCGAGGAGTACAATTTGCCACTATGTCTGGCGTATGTGGACTATGAGAAAGCCTTTGATTCCGTCGAAATTTGGGCGGTGCTGCAGTCCCTTCAGCGATGCCAAGTTGACTGTCGGTATATCGAAGTGTTGAAGTGCTTGTACAGTACGGCTACGATGGCTATCCGAGTACAGAACCAGAGTACGAAACCTATCCAATTGCAGAGAGGTGTAAGACAGGGTGACGTCATATCCCCGAAACTCTTTACCGCTGCATTGGAAGATGTTTTCAAGCTTCTGGACTGGAAAGGATACGGTGTCAACATCAATGGCGAGTACATCACTCACCTTCGATTTGCCGACGATATAGTCCTTATGGCAGAATCGCTGGAGGACCTAAGCACTATGCTCAATGACCTCAATAGTGTTTCTCAACGGATAGGTCTTAAGATGAACATGGACAAAACAAAGATCATGTTTAATGTCCATGTCACACCTATGCCGGTAGTTGTTGGGAACACTAAGCTCGAAGTTGTTGACGAGTATGTTTACCTGGGACAAATAGTCCGACTAGGTAAGTCCAACTTCGACCGAGAGGTCAATCGACGGATTCAACTCGGTTGGGCAGCGTTCGGGAAATTACGGCACATCTTCTCGTCAGGTATACCTCAAAACTTGAAAACCAGACTGTACACCCAGTGCGTGTTGCCAGTGATGACATACGGAACTGAGACGTGGTCCTTCACTGCTGGCCGGATGAGGAAGCTCAAGGTCGCTCAGCGAGCTATGGAGAGGGCTATGCTCGGAGTTTCTCTGCGTGATAAACTCAGAAATGAGGATATCCGCAGTAGAACTAGAGTGACCGACATAGCCCAACGGATTAGTAAGCTGAAGTGGCAATGGGCCGGCCATATAGCTCGAAGAACCGACAACCGATGGGGAAGAAAGGTTCTCGAGTGGCAGCCTCGTACCGGCAGGCGACGTGTAGGGCGTCCCCCCACTAGATGGAGTGACGACCTGGTAAGATATGCAGGAAGTCGATGGATGCAGGTGGCTCAGGACCGTGCTTTGTGGCATTCTATAGGGGAGGCCTATGTTCAGCAGTGGACTTGTGAAGGGCTGTAATGATGATAATGATGATTCATTCCATAAGCGACAGAACCGTAAATGGTTAAAGGTACGGATTACGAAATTTAGGAAACACAGGGTTCCAATCCGCTATTCGACTACTGTTGGGAATCATTCCTAATATATAATACCAATGTAAGCTAAACTGCAGTAGATAACGGAAATGTTAGTATTGTCGTAGTAAATAGATTATGTTAACAGCACTGCCAGAGTTTACTTTTCTAATAATTAAAAATTAAAAATTTTGTACAGCCGACTTCAATATAAGTTATTTAAGAATAACTCAAAAACTATTGGTGTGACCTTGATCAAATTCATATGGCACCACACGAGAATTATCAGCTTTCATATAAAAAAGAATCATCGAAATCGGTTCACCCAGTACGAAGTTATGAGGTAACACACATAAAAAAAACATACAGTCGAATTGAGTACCGTCTCCTTTTTGGAAGTCGGCAGAAAAAGGAAAAAGATATTAGTAACAAAGTATTTCTTTCT